CGCTCGTGGATTGTTGAACAGGTCAGTGTTCTATATTCGAGAAATCAAAGAAAACTCTGGGATGAATCATTCCACGCACATTTTACAAACACGTACTCTGTCGCCATTCACATAAATCGTGAATTTTCGAACGAACGCCTCCGTTGAAGCTATTTATTGTTCAAACTGAATGAATACTACAGAATTGCACGCACTCCCGTCGTCTCGCTCTCTCGGCAAGCGTGCTCCGCCAAGTGTTACAAGGGTACAATAAAATCTCGTACATTCCTCGCAGCTTAAATCACACGGCACAATCTGAAATGTCAAAAATGCAAGCTTCGTCTGAATACGTCCGCCGCAACCTGCAGACTCACGATTGCAACAGATACCGCGGCGAGCGCGTTAATTTCATTTTAAATGTATTCCATCCACATTTTTTTTTACGGCGGATCAATCATTTCTGGTTAACGGGCGAAGCTCGCCGCGCAGGGAACAATCAATTTATAATTCGCAATTAAACTTTAAGGCCGTCCGCGCGGCTCGGCGGTGGAATGTGCACGGTAATGCAAGGTGTGCGGCGGTTGCAACGGGTCGCGCGAGTCGCGGCACAGTTCATCATCGCGGCCTGCCCGTGCCGCGCGGCGCACCAGCTCGCGGTATTAATGACAATCATTAATCCCTTATCACCTTTAACATATTTTTTTCACCCGCTCGGCACGCATACCGAACGGAAACGCCCAGTCACACTGCGTATCCTGAAAAACGATTACCAACGAACGCGTGTCATACTCCCGAGAATAATTGCTCGCAGCGATTAACAATCACGCCGTTGGCTCCGATCTCTCGGAGACGAGTTTTGTAAGTTTCCCGAGTGATTTATCCTGTGCCGATCGAGCAGCGATCGGGTAACTCGCGAACCGAAGTAATTAATACCTAGTTTGCATCGATATACAAACTTGTGTCACTTTGTAGATCGATAGTATCTCTTAAAATGGAACGGTGACGTCAATGGCGATGAATATACATTGTCCTGATCTTTAGTAAGGTTTGGTAACTTGTCTTTACGTGGATTCTATGTAAATCGAGTTTATGTAACATTTTCTGTGACGCTGGAGCTTGTTACGATACATTTTTGGCTTCGGGTAACTCGTTTCCATCGTTGGACGATTGTTTCCTGAAGATTCATCTTGAAACGCGAGGAATTATATTTAGAACTAGTTTGACGACTTTGTTGTAAGGTGTTACACGTGTCCGTAATCAAGCACTTCCTTGGTCGATGATATAAGATTAAATTGCGGTAAAAAAGTAGGATTTATGTAGGAAAAACAGATTCCATTTATATAAGCTACTAGATCGTGAAAATTGTAGGATGCAGTTTCCAGACCACTGTAGCTCTGTATGCACCACACAAACCTCTCTAGAACCGAATTTGTCGCCTCTTATCAAACAAATTCGGATCTACAGGGTAGATGTAGAGCATTAACTGGGCCTTCCCCTATCCGTACACAAATCTTACGACACGATTGATATTTTTCTTGGTTCTGACGCGCGTGTCGGTTATATCTCCTTCGTTGGCCCAGTGTCAGAGGATGATCTTTAATCCCTCGCCATCCGTCTACCTGAAAATATCCTTTAATCAATATCTTCGCTCTCAACGTAACGCAAGAATATTATATATCATTTCTTAAACTCAGTTTATTGAGAACAATGGTAAAAAACTGTGATCGATCTGTAACTTTTAATTCTAAGGTCATAAATCTTTCTTAGATCCGTGTACGTGTGAATTTTGGAATATTCTGAATTCCCGTAATCAATCAAAGTAATTTCGAATATTTCTCGTGGCCGTGCGCAACGAAAGCATTCGAACATCGAAGTGTATCGTAAAATCTCCGAGGAGCTCAAAGTGTATCCGATAAACAGTTAAAATTGGCGCTCTCACTAGCCCAGATCGGGAGGATCCAAATTGCAGAGTCATTCGGAAATAGACCGGTTCCGCCGAGTCACTCCACCAGGCGGCAGGGAGGCATCTATTTCTGCGTGCCGAGAAACGAGAAACTTTCTTCATGCGTGAAAAAAAGTCACGGCATGAATAATCGTAACACTTTTTCCCCGCTTCCTTTCGAATTCTTTTTTCTCCGTGCTCATCCTTGAATGTATTTGCGCGGACCCGTTGCAGCACGCAATACTAATTTATTCTCGAATCGTTCGTTCGCGTTCCACCCCCCCGAAAAGATTAACATAAAGCGTAGAAACGTCTTCTCTTAATAGATATGACTGATATCCTGCGCGAGCAAGAATTACGAGTTTCTATTCACCGACGCGAAATGAATTTCCTCGCGATTAAAAAAGAAAGATCGAATTAATCGACGGTACGGTTGATTGATTCGTATCATTGAAAAGCTCCCGTCAGGATCATTATGGCGCAGCGAGGAGCAGTGACAAGCGACGCTAGGATTCGTCCGTACGGTTCGTTCAGCTCCGACAACACCATTAAAGATAAATCCTGTTATGTCACTTGGCACACTTCCTGGGTGCATATCATAGCGGGTTATCTTAGCGACAATAATCATATTACACCTGTGCAGCCGATAGTGATTGATGCTCGTCCCTGGGATCGAAGGCACCTGAGCGTTAACGGCTCGCGGATGACACAGCTGAATGCTAGCAAGGTCGTGTTCTCCTTCATCCTCTTTCTCTTCTTATTCCTTAGCGGTACAGCTCCTTTTATTTGAGCGCCGCGCGATGTCGATGTACCTTGCGTTTCCAGGTTACTTGGTCATCCCGCGCCGCCAGTGTTTACCTGAAATCATTGCGGGGTTTCTGTCAGACGCGCGGACGCTGGCGATCCATTTGTCACTCGCCTAATTAGGCAACGCTCCGGAGACTTACGGAACGAAATAATTCTAATCTTCTTAAGTAATGAACTTTGAGTATCTGTTACGAGTTATTCAACGTGTAGCGGTAAAGTTGGCGCCTTTTTTTAATTTCTTGGCTTTCGGTAATCTGTAACGCGGAGAATAGAAACGAGTAATATAATATGTGGCGATGAAGTTTGCACGTTTAGTTTTTTGGCTCTCAGTTGTGTTCTGTAACGCGGAGAATAGAAGAGTAATGTAATAATGTAGATGTGATAATATAATGATAAGAAAGTATAATATGGCTGTTATTGAATGGGTAATTATTTTCGTAGCGAAAATATTGGACAGAGATTGGAAGTTTGTGTATATTCTGGATTACTACGAGTTGAAAAGGTGTTTACGGCCTGTGTTTCTATAGAAGTGGCTAAGTCGACCGAAAACTGTTCGCTAAGCGTCTTTAGAAGTTAAGTACTTAATCTAGGTGAGCCACAAAAGGATGGTTTGTCGGCTTTGGCTCATCCGCTGATTTCTTGAATTTTAAGGAGTGCGAAACTGTTGTTCCCTGTCAAAATATTTAACCATTTTGAACGGGGGATTAAAATCTTAGGACAGGTTACCGACAGGTTCTCAGTATTCTTTAAACTTTGCTTCGGAAGTGTTAATCCCCTTAGAAACCACCCTTCTCGTTTGCTAATCGGGATTAATACGAATTAGGGCGGGCAAGTTTCAAACCCAGCGTCACAATTCTTCGAAGTCGGTCTTGTTTGTACACCTAATTTTCTTAGACAATTTCCTGCAATTCTTTTATTCGATAAATATCATAATATTATTTATTGTGGGTAAAATATGTCATTAATTCCAAACAATCTGCATGTATTTTAAATTCGCTGATTAAAAACTGTTCTGAAAGTTACCAATTTATTCTCAATTCATTCTATTCTGAATTAAATGTAGAAAGTAACGGAAAATACGACTCCCTAACGAGCTGCCTAAAATTTGCCGGAAACCTTAACCCTCGGAAAGCCGACTCTAAGGATGTCATCCGAAACGAATCCTTGCGAGCACTTATTTATGACCAGGTAGACGTTGATTTGCTCCCTCGAGGCGCAAATAATCTCCCCTCTGGGATCAATAAGCCGACACGAGTTGGAAACATGAATTTTAGAAAAGTTCCGTGAACGCTGAACATCAGAAAGAACGACCATAGCTTTCACGTATAAATTCCATTTCAAACACTTTACAAACTATCCAATTTCTTTATCCGTATTATCTCTTACAAATATTCATAGATATCTCATCCGAGTTAAATCCAAAACCTTAATTCAACGTCAACATCAATCTAATTAACCTCTCGCAATATTCACATCCCAAATTTAGATAAAATGAAAATCCAACTAAACATTCATCGCGTTACTTAAATTTCATTATTCTTACTGCATACTACAAATTCCCAAGTCCAACCTCGAGTCCCAACAATTCCATCCGCCCCGTATTTCCAAATCTTCACGAGGGAAAAGGGGAATATTCCACGATCAAGTAACGATAAATTTTCCGAAAAAATCTCCCACCTCGGCGCTTTTCGTGCAGAGGGCGTACTCCAGGAATCCGAGGAATCCGATAGGTGGAGCGTGGCCGTTGGAGGTTCCGTGGGGTTTCCTTGTATCGACCCGAGTCACCCCCTTGGTCCGCCATTGTCGTCCACGCGCGGCGTCTGCACCCCGAGCACCGGCGACGCTATTATCGTCATCCCCCTGTTCACATAATTTTCGGCATTAGAACTGTTGCTGCTCCTGGGGCCATCGAAACTTTTCCCGGCCCTGTTGCCGGACTGGCTGCTGCCCCCGACTACGACGTGGCGAGGGGTGGGAGGGAGCCGCGCGAAACGACGATATACGCGTCCCGCTCGCGAACTGTAATGCTTTGGAAATTACTGCGACGAAGTGGCTGCCGACCGATAAGAAACTGTGTTTATTAGCACGGCCGGGGCCGGGAGGGCCGAATAAAATACTGTAACTTCCACTGACCCGCGCGGAAATTGGACGTTTCAACCGACTCGGGGGTTCTTTAGTACAACTGCGAAAGGGTTGAAGAGGGAAATGTTACCCGACGAAAGTGGAAGTTATTTTGTAGCGATAATTGAAATTTTAGGAACCCTATAACGTACCCTCCAGCGATCCCATGTTGTTTCTATAGGTATTCGATGTTTCGAAGCTGGAATTCGTGTTTGGTAGCCGGGAAATCCATAGGATCATCTGAAATAGTTCGTTTTATTAGAAATGTTGCTTTGTTTTTGATTTTGTAGTATTCGTTATGTACCTTTTGATTAGATAATTGAAGGCTGCGACGGAGTGTACGGATAATTATTACTCGAGGCTGGGTACCTGAAATAAAAATTGAATTTAATGAAGCTGTACGGAGGATAAAGGGTGCCTGTTCTCAGCCGAGCGGCAAAGAAACTTATAAATAAGTACATTGAGTCAAGCCCGGAGAAATTAGCTTCATTTAGAATCGCGGGCAGGACATAAATGAAATATAGAGTACCGTGTAAGTGGCGATAAAAGCCGCCGAGTCAGCATCAATCAACCCTTTCACCGGCGGGAGCCCCTCGACTGACAATCGACATCCGCACCCTAACTGTCCTGAAAAAATCAACCAATTGCGTAACCACTTTTACTCGTACGTTCCGCGTAACCCGCGGTAACAGTTTCTACTCTCAGTTTACACGAAAACCAATAAAAAAAAGATCACTCTACAAATCGGAAAAACAAGAACTCGATCTAAAATTCCACTGCGACCGTCAATAAAGACATTTCCATTTACAAAATACACAATTGAAAAGACTCGAGCAGCTATGACCGCCTTCGACGCAAAAACTCAACAATTTAATCACAAGCTCGTTACCACTTCTCCATAAAACATAAATAAAGTTACACAACCCACGAACCGAGTCCGACCATAAACAACGAACTGACACCACTCGGCGGGCACACTTTAATTCAACAAACCCCAATAAAAACCTCGTTCAACCAGTTCCGAACTACGAAATAACCTTCCACCTCGAGACTACAGGTCCATTCAAAAGCAACCACCCTCGCGCGAGATCCGACAGGCGAAAATTCCCGATATGTTCGGAACATAACAATCCCGTTCGCGACGGTCCGGCACGAGGAAAACTCGGCGAATATTCTAGCGCGTCGAAGACGACCGTAAAATCACCATACATTTGAATAAAACGGGCCGGCGTGGGCTCCGGACGTTAGCGAGCCCGCGGAGACGTCCGCCGTGCAGTATCACTCCTGGCGAGCAGTAGATAAGGGCCTCGGTGTTAACGGGGTCCTCCGTAACAACACAAAGAGGCGCACCGGCTGGTCGGATGGCTGGACGGGACGTGATGGCTGAACCGACGAATAAACCAATAAACGGCGCAACCATCTGCTTGCCAGCCGGCGTGTCTCTCTCTTGCTCTTTCTCTCTCGCCGCGTTGCTATTCCGCTTCTCTCTCTCTTTCTCTCCCTCTCTCTCGCTCTCTCTCTTTCCCCTGTGCATCGTAGGCCTTCTGTCCTCGCCATTCTTCTCCCCTCGACCCTGTTTCGCTCTATCCTCGTCCCTCTCGCTCCCGCTGTTCCCGTTCCCCGGGCTGCCGGTTCTTCCCTGCCCGCTCGGCCGAGCCACCACCATTTTATGCGATCCTGAAATGAGATCCACGCGAGGGCTCCAGCATCCGTGGGGAACTCCCGCGGCTTTTATTCCACGACAATGAGCGCAGCCAGCCAGGACAACGCGATTTTCGAAACGCGCCGGAATTTCAGCAGATAACCGCCCCCACCGGCGGACCCACCCCTAGCCGACTCGATCGGAGCGGCGAGTGGGATGGGTATTGTGAGTGGAAATCCTGCGATACACTCGGCGACACGTGTTACGATGATTGGTGCCCGGTGGTTGCTGGGCTGGGGATTGCCGAGGGGTGGTTCTTCTTGGGGTTGTTCGTTAGGTAATATTGGGGATATTGTTTTTCGGCTGGGAGATTGCGAGGGATTGTTTGTCGGGGTTTCCGACTTCGAGTCGAGGAGTTTTAGTTGCTTCCAAATTTTCTTGCGAATTGGTAACGACTTTTGACAGTTTTTCGGGGATCGAGTGTAATTTCGAGTAATAGTTGAGAGGATATTAGGTTCTTGGATTCATGGGAATTGCGGAAGTATGAAAATTATGTATTTGTTTCGATTTGAAGATTTTTGGGTTAGTTCTAGTTTAATAGAAAAGGAGAAGAAAGTTTTTAGAAAGGCTAGATTTCCAGAATTTGGAAGCACGCGGCAGGTCAGCGGAGAAGATCGAAGGCCAATCGTCCGCCATCATTCCGTCCCTATTAGCTGCCGAGGACCGCGGATACCTGCTCCGGAGCCGGACAAGGAAAAAGTTGAACAATAGTACAGCGAGCATCCCCGCTCTATTGCCGCAATAAAACTAACTTGGTGCCGCGTCCATGAAACCGGACGCGCCGTTCCGAGAAAATTCTCGGCGGTCCGTTAACTTTGCATTTTAACGGAGAAGCCTCTAACAGTTTCTAATCCGTTCCCTCTACTCTGAAGATTCGTCGAAGTCCATCTACGTGGAACATTTCTAACGGACACACTTGAAAAGATTCTACAAAAATAATTTTTTCGTCAAATATAAGTTTCAATTCGAAATACAAATGAAATCTTTTTATAGATTGGTTTTGAAAGCTTTTGAAATTTAAATTGAATACAATTTTGTATTTAGTAATGGAGTAATAGTGAAATATTTTTCTGATGAAACTTCTTCATAAAAAAACGCTAGTCACTAGTAAAATATATGACAAAATAAATATGCGTATATTCGTGAATGAAGTCTAAAAGCGAGGCTAAACTCAACTATATGTTTCTCCCGTCCAATCATGTGAAACGATAATGTTAGCAGATTTATGAAACAAAAAGATCGGGGAAGAAGAAGAAATTTTTTATTCCGAATTCGTCAGTCCGAGTCTTTTATATGCGCGCATAAAAGTTTTATTCTTCTCTGGCACGGAACGTATCGGTGTCACTGGTGGGAATCGACTCGCGCCCATATGGTGAACTATAAAAGAGTAACGAGACCTCGTTGCGTCTCCCATGGTCGAATTGCGGCGCGTGACGTCACTTCTCGCGGAAACGTGTTAATTTACGACAGCGACGCTTTAATTTTCAGGCATCAGGCGTCCCGGAATCGCGTGGAAACGGTGGGAAAATGTTCGGGCAAAACTTGCTACGATTCCACTAACCGAGAGACCCACTTTCATTTTATCGGGATAACATCGGTAGCTCGGCAATTCTCGAAAAATTTCAACGCGCCACGAACTCGAGCGATATCTACGATAAAATGTCAGCGTCTGAAATGTTCCATTGCAGTATTCGCTCTGAATTCTCCTAAATTCAGTATCTTGGGAGTAGTCCAACTTTGTACCAATAAAATAAGTGTAAACGTCAAAATTTAATCAAGACAGTTTACAGGATAGATATATCGAAAGAGTCAAGAAGATCTGCACAAACAAACAAGTAAAAATTGTTCGAATTCGAACCTGAATTTGAAACTGAAATTTCAACTCGATTTCAAACGTAACTATCGCGTCATCCCGATCAAATACGAATGAACCAATTAAATTAAGTCGTTGAAAAGTTGTTACACGATTATAGTTTCACGGTAACTATGTCGCGGCTCTCGTGTTTCCGTTTCAAAGGAATCGGAGAAGTCAAAGTAAAGGAACGCGCCTCGTTTCGTTCGTTCCGTCGTTCCCTCCGTCGGATTTCGATTACGATAGGAGGAAATCAGCGGACCGTCACGCGATGTTTTGCCCAAACGGATCGTTAAACGTTTTAACGGGGCCGAACGAGGTGGCCGTGGGTTTTCAATGAATTTACTCGGCACGGTTAACTTTCGTCGGATCTGCATCGTGCCCACGCTCGTTTCCATTTCATCGCTATTAAAAGAAGAAAATAAAACGGCCACGGCGAAGAGGAACGGTCTGATGAGGCGTTACAACCGAGGAGCTTCAACTTCGCAGCCCGCTTGGCCCATTACGCTGAAATAATGGAACAGTCATCAAGCCGGGACAGCGAACAGCAACGAAAATGGCAACATTTCGACCGGTCTATTAACCGGTCTCGTTTATATCGACACGATAGGACCGTGTCCCTGACCGTGATAAGAGTGTGTCCCGTTTCAAAAATAATCTCTCCCCCCGGAATTAATTAAAAGGCAGATAGAGCTTACGAGATACGTTTCACGCGATGGAAACAAACCGTTTGTACTTCTGTATCGGTAATTCTTCGTGCCTAAGTAGTGCGACCATTAACGATTGTACTTTCTTAACGTATTCTTTTCTACCATTAACCCAATTACGCCTATCGCCGTTTCAAACGTAACATGAACTTCGGAAGGAAATTCAGTGTAGTGATATCGACGACATAGTTCCAGTTTAAGAGAAACAACTGCTCTAATTGTCGTCGCTTTGAAGTGATATTTTATCAAGCAATAATGGTAAGTATAATATCTTCCTCTATAATATTCATATCGATTGAAGATTAATTCGAGCTTGTTCCGTGGAACAGAGAAGCACTGAATCGCGACCTTTCCCCTGTAATTGATGATACGAACTTTAACGCGAATTTTCAAGGATAATTTTCAATAACCACCACCTCCGCGATTCATTGAAACATCGACGAGTGGGAGTAACGGCGGGCACACGATCGGGAATGGAGTCATTGCGTGTCAAAACGGCGCGCCTAACAAATAAACACGCTGAAAGATCGTGAGTGATGCTTGTAATGTCCAAAAATCACGGGGCCGTGTATTCTTTGACGCGGCGGAGGACAACAACATCGATCACCTGACGGTTTGTCGCGTCATGCCGCTTCTTGTTCATTCAGGTGTCGATTCATGCGGCCTGTCGATATGTTTTAACTAATAACAGGACGGACAAACGACGCGTGTTTCGCGCGTCGATGTCCCCGTGTCAATAGACCGACCACCGAACGATATTGAGACGACGATATTTGAAAAATGGCCTCCCTTCCTTCTTTTTTTCTCTCGCTCCTCCGTAACTCTCGGGCATATTGTCCTACCGTCGCTTTTCGGCGTTTCGCAAGTGCCGGGGGTACTATGCAAATCGATCGAAAGATCAAAAGCGATTCGGGAAGGTTTGACTGTCAGTCGATCACTCGAACTACACTGTTTATTCAAACTTATATAATGTATTCAGTGGTTATTCCAATCAATATACAGATATTACGAAATGCAAATGAAATCAGTGAATATTTTAACTATATCGAGAGTCCAACGATTAAATGCACCGTTATCTCAGTTACTCGGAAACGAACGACACCTTCGAAAAAAAAGAACAAATACGAAAGGATCAATGACTAAAGCAAAGCGAGGGATAAGCCCGAAAGGATCTTCAGCGAGGCTGAACCGGGAATCGAGAACCAATCGGGCCACGAAGAAAATGGACCATCGGGGCGGACGTGTCGGCGAGTTTAGGGATCGAAAGGCTAGACGTGGAATGTGGACCGAGTGAGTCCTTGATTGGAGTCATAGCCGGTTTGCCCTCGTGCACACACGTCCACCGGACA